AACACCTTTCCGATTGACGAGTGAAGGACGTTTCTGATGAAGGGCTTGATTCCGGTTGCTGACCATAGATCTCTGCATTGACAGTTCCCTGTGATTGAGGAGCTCGAAATGAATTACTCCTTTGATGTCCCACCAAATGCAAAGCATCACTTTCTGCGGATGGAGTCCCGGTTTTGGGGTTAGAAGTGGTTTTTGTCAAGGACTGAGCAATTGTTTTTGGCATTTAATATTTGCATAGAAATCCATTTTTCATTACCGGTGACAAATCTGTCCAAAAATGGTTCACGCGCATTACGGGCCAGAAGAGACGAAGCTACGTTCACACGTTGGAAGCGATGAACATCGGAAAGTTCGTGAGGCACCCAACCACCTTCTTCAAGGAGTTTTCCATATTCCTTAGATGTTTACGTATTGTTTCATGAGAGACATGCAATTTGTGGGCCATTTCACGAGTGTGTTGCCTTTGGTTAGACTCTTAGCGTCTTCAGAGCATCAATATCAATTCCAACATCACAGTTTTTAAGGCTAAAGTCACCTGAACGAAATTTGCTGAAGCATCAGGTTACCTGTTATTCTACTCTGTCTTCTGTCCCTGAACTAAGCTGCAGTTTCTAGCAACCCGTAGTTATTGTATTATAATCGTTTATGTAAGAACTACATTCTTGAGAACCAGTTTGGGCTGAACGTGGCCCAGTAATTAACGTATCGCACTGCAGATGTGAGATCCCTTGATTTGCGCCCTGTTACCGGAAAAATAAAATTGCTGCACTTTATGGCTAGGGTGCGGTGGCATAAGTATGCCCCCGCAACCACTGCAACTGTGGTGGGGCGAGCCAAAAGGGGACTTGAATCGGCCTGAATCGTAACTACAATTATATATATACACACTTTTCCAATTTCATTATTAACTTTTAACTATACAACTTAGGTATGGTTATTTCTAAAAGGTATGATTAAGTACCTTTAGGCTACGTAGGCCAAAAGCTATAGTAACAACTTAATGATGTCTTAGTGAGACATGGTTCTTTATGGTTTAATAGTGATGAACAATTTTTGTAATAATTCTAACGAAAGATTAATTATAATTCAAAACTACAACCAGTCGTCTCTAGTTTTGAGTTGATAGACTATAAGGAAGGCAACTAGTCAACAGTATCCATCGACAACTCTTGGGCCACTCTAATGGTTCAGTGGGATTTTACTGTCAGTTCGTAGCGCGATTTTCCGGCAGCAGGACGCGAGTCATGGTTTCTCTAATTTTTAGTCCGTCGTTTTGATAACTAGCTATGTCCGGCCTATTTATTTATGCGAAAACATATTATCCTGTAATTACTTACTTTTTGAAAGCATGAAATAAATTAAATTAAAACGTTGCTTTGTAGGTACGAACCCATACGACTAACAGACAACATTAATACACCATACATTGAATAACACTTAATGTTAAGTAATACAATTATTTTGTTACTTACTACAGTATATATATATATATATATACTAGTACTGTCTGTTGTCTATTGTATGTCCATGTAACTACTTCGTGCCCTCCCCCCCCAGTGGCACAGCGGTATGTCTGCGGACTTACAACGCTAGAATCCGGGTTTCGATACCCGTGGTGGGCAGAGCACAGATAGCCCATTGTGTAGCTTCGTGCTTAATTACACACAAACAAAACTACTTCGCTTGGTATGGACGGATATTCACCAAAATTAGTATGGAGGCTCATTAGGTCCATGAATAGATACACATACATTTTCAGTTTTGCATTCTGCGGTTTGTTTGGCATTTTTGCGTTTTTTACCACTACCTCACCTCCTTTAGATGGCTCTTTACCAAATTTGGCATGAAGGTTTGTTGGGCCCATGGGAAAATACATACAAATTTTCAGTTTTACATTTTGCGTTTTGCGGTTTGTATGGGCGTTTTTGCGTTTGTTTACTACTACTACGCCCTATATGGATGGATCTTCACTAAATTTGATATGAAGGTTTATTCGGACGATGCAGAAACATATCAAAGTTATGGTTTCACATTTTGTGTTTTGTTGTTTTTATGGGCGTTTATCCTTTTTCTACAATTGCATATAAGGGAAGCAACTTTTCATGTCCTAAGATAACCTTTCATTAATCAGAAGACGGGTGCTCCAGTTAGCTAGGTAATAATGCTGCAACTTTCAACTAAAAATCAGCCACCATACACTCGGTGGTTGAGCGGTAAGCTTAAGGGCTTATAACGCTAAAATTCTGGGTTCTATCACTGCTATGAGCATAGTGCAGATAACACATCATGTAGTTTTGCGGTAAAATAAAACAACTAAAGTGATTTCTGAATTTAACATTTAGCGTAGAACTATATGAAAAGTTTGAACATGTTTAGTATGAATTTCGGGCATGAGGACTATCTGTGCTAGTTGTCCCTAATTTAGCAGTTATAGACTAGAGGGAAGTCAGCTAGTTAGCATGACCTATCGCCAACTTTTGGACGTTATAACGCTCCCACGGTTGAAATATCGAGTATGTTTGGTGACGATGATTCTTTGTTTGTAAATAAGCACAAAGCTACACAATGGGCTATCTGGGCTATGCCCACCACGGGTATCGAAACCCGGATTCTAGCGTTGTAAGTCAGCAGACATACCGTTGTGCCACTGAGGGGCCGTGGATTCGAACTTGCGATCCTCAGATTGCGAGTCGAGCACCTTAACCACCAGATCATGCCAGGCCCAGTTTGAACTGAACGACAAATTGTTATTTCTTATTTTACCACTAAAACATTCAATTTTATCAGGATGTAATCTAATTTCTTTTGAAACCTCTTTTGCTCGTTAAGAGTTTCAAAAAAATAAACATGTTACACGTTTTAGCATGTTTTGAACAAATTGTTTGATTGTATTTTAAATCCTCTAAGCCAAGCTTTATAGGGGTGTTTTAAAACTTTGTTTTGAGATGAGAAACAAAGTGTCTGACTATTTGACCACGCTTTAAAACTTTAAAATTTTTATCTTCACAAGTTTTTAAGCATGACTTCAACATTTATATATTCCTAAAGTTATTATCTCTGAAAAAATAATGATATATGTATTCTCGTCTTGAACGACATTTTATGTAACAGATGGGTCTAACGGCTAGGCCAGAAACCTTTAAGTTGCAAGAACTACTGACCACTAGAAAGGCAGCCAGTCAGCAGAACTTGCCGCCACAAGAGTTTTATTTTGCTTTGAACCAAATAAGGGGAATAAATTTTACTCTTGTAAAGTACATACAGCTGAAGCGTTATAATGGCATTGCGACGAACCTTGGACATTCGGATCCGTAGCCCATCATTTAATCTCTAAATAACAGCCTTCCCCCGAAACATTAATGGAATAATTCAATAGTATATTAAATTCTTTACGTTGTTTTTATTTTATACTTCTTTAACATATGCTGAGTAGAAATTAAATGCTTCTTCTTCTCTGTCTGAAAGTATATATCTGAATAGATAATATAGAACTATAGTTAACTAAGTTCATTTACTTACTAACAATAAATCTACTTTAAATTTCTTTATATTTATTCTAGGCATTCTGTTCTTGCACAATGGATAAAAACTAACAAAAACAGAGTTAACCAGAGTAAGACTGTTTATTAATCTATCTAGAATAACACTGACTCAGCTGGGGTACCTACAGTATTGAATGGGGCATCATTAGGACGATAATTTTCCCGATATTTGTTAACAAAGATATTTTATATTACAGTACTGGTTTCAAACCACAATGTTATAAACCTAACTCTCCTGTTAGTTTTCTGGTATTAATAATGCTATTATAGTGTTTACTTAACAGTCACGTTGTACATACAAGATGAAGCATTACCAGAACAACAGATGCTACACACACACAGATATATATATATATATAATTACCACTTGCAATAATACCATTTAACACGGGTTACACATTATCTATACAAAATTAACAATTAACTGACATCTGATTTTTTGTCACAGTTCATATTTTGTCACGTCTACTAATAATAACATTTAACACGTTTCAAAAACTAGTCTACAGTAACATTCCACGCAATATTTGTGTCAAAAATAACAGCGTTTCAAAGGTTTCACACATTTTAAATTATTTAAAGTCACTCTGTACGAATCAGGATTATTGTATTAATACTTATAATACTCTTAACTTAATTCACAAATTATTTACACTAATCGAATACAACAAAAGCCATATTAACACTAACAAAATGTTCATTGTCTAATATTGAACAAAGACTTTCAATATATATTACAACTTGCGTATCTACATAAACAAAGTGTCACAAATTCTGTTTATCCAATCTTTCTATATGCACCCGTACAATATTTGCCTCTGTACTTGGGATATTATTCGCACCATATCTAATGAAAAAGTTATTATAAAGAATATTCTATTGCAATGACATATTTCTACTCCACAGATTTGGTATGTTTAATTATTTTACGCTTACTTAAGATATTATCAATTAGAAAAGATTATAAGTATTATCGTCATATTTTAACACAATTTCGTTATTAGATCATTTAAAAAATATATTATGCTAGCTGTAACTATTATAACTTTATGAAATATAATCTAATATTTTATTATGCTCTTAGCAATGGTTCCAAGCTCTAGTTCTCTCTAATTTTGCTGTAAGGCTAATTCTTAAGCTCTGTGGGCTATGAAGCTACAAGCTAACTGGTTATAATGTTTCTTTGGATTCACAGTTTCCATCCAAGGAAGCAGAACTCAGCACAGAATTCAAACGTTTATTGGTTTTATGTTAGTGATTGAGCCATCTAGGAAAGTAAATGATTTCGACAACAGCAGCAGATCACTTCCAAACGTTGGCATGTTTCAGGTATCTATCTATCTACCTCGTTCTGTTGCATTTAGAAATTTTTGATGGAAAGTTGTATATTATTTTAATCAAACGTCAATTGTTAAACAGTTAAATGAAAGGTAAAATTTTGATTTTCAACTTATTACAAAATTGTAATAATTTAAAAATGCTTTCTTATTTATCGACTTAGCTTTTTGGAGATGCCCTTTCCAAGTTCTCTGAAGAATGTCCTCATGCTGTCCTCCAGACTTCAAATATCCCGAAGTCAGAGATACAAGTGATGTGGACAGCTCCTCCTCCGTCATCTGGTTGTGTCGTGTTCAAGTAAGTTCAGATTCAGAATACCGAACGTGACCAATTGGCTAGCATGCCGGATTGAGAATTTAAGGTTCCGTCGGTTGCTCCTTGTTTTGGAGATGTGGGTGCGTTATAAAAGTGACTGTCGAATACTAGTATTATATTAGAGTACTCCATAAGTTAATGGTGGGTGGTGTTGATTAGCTGTCTTTCCGCTTATATATCACTTGAAAATTAGGAATGGCTAGCGCAAGTAGCCCTCGAGTAGCTCCACGCAAGAAGAAAAAATCTGAATGTTACATTAGTTATTCGGTTCTTATGGCAATTAAAATCGAAGGCCTTATTATCCTCTAGCGTCTAACTTTTTGAAGTTCGACTTATTAAAATACTATTTTAATATGGAACAATAAGCTTTGTTTCCATTGTGTGCTATGTTTGCCAACTTAATCGATTTTATAAATCCTAGCAGTAGTTCTCTATTTCCAAATTTTTCTTATTTAGATTTGTTTAAAACGACTAATAGATAAATAAAAGATAGATATTCATATATTTTTCTATACAAATGAACATACACTATTAATGAGTGGTTCGAAATGAGTGATTAGTATTTTAAAAATGCAAAACAGTTTGGGCGTTATGTTGCTACATTATGGGTCAGCTAAAATATTGTACTGAAGAAAGCTAATGGAGTGCTAGGATTCACTATTACATTACTGTATGGGCGTTCAGACGACTGTATATTTTTGCTAAGCAACTGTAGGTATTGGTAATGCAAGAAAGTTTATTTTTGTAATATTCCTTGCACTTTTCGCTGTTGGTGCGTTATAATAGTGATAATCAATCTCTTAGCGTTGATGGTGGTAGTATCATTCTGCTGACTAGCTGTCTTACCTATGGTAGGTAGTTCTGAAGTAGGAAGGGTGACAGATAGCCTTAATAGCTTTACCGTAAATACAAAATATAAATATATACTTTTCTACATCACCGATCTGTACAGTCGCTTAGCAACAAAGATTGTGTTATCGAACATATTCAAACTAGACTCGCAAGATCCGAAATTCAAAGCTTTACCACAAGGCCAACTCGTGCCTTGATAAGGAAAATAGCTAACAACAAATACATTAGGTTTGTATTTACTTTAGTAAAGCCGGAATTAAATTTTATTGTCGCTCGAAGCAGTTTGTAATATTGGAGATTTAAACTAGCTTTGATATTCATAAATCGTACTTACGTGCTGCATGCTTTCGTGTTTGACCCCTCTTGCCGGAAAATTACACTTATAATCAGGTATGAAAGGTATTTTTTTATTATTATTTCCTAATGGGTTTGCACTTTATCTTATAAGTGAAAAGTCTAATATATGTTGATACGTGACATTTAACGAGAAAAATATTTACGCTGAGCTCTAGAGAAACGTTCCTGACTAAAGTTTTTTATATGTTTATACTGTTTGAGAAATACTTCTCTTTAAAGCGTATTAGTATAGCTACTTGTTATTTAGCGTGTACTTAATAATAATAAAAGTGAAGCCTTTTATTACATACTCATTATGTTTTGCAAACTCAAATAGAGGGTAAAATAAAGCTGTCCAGTAGCTATTTTTGTCGAGTATAAAACTAATATTTGTTAAAGTATATCTAACCGTTTTATGGCAGTGGTGTTTACGTGTACATCAGGAATTCAGAAAAAAAGAGAGGCAGTCTTGTTAAGCTGTCGTACTTGTTACTATTTCGTCAGTATCTGAGTTGTCTTTCACAATAATTACTGTGTTAATTGATTCTGACAATAGTATTCTAAAACAAAATCAGCTTGAAGTTCATGGCTTTTGCTATATTCAGTTTCATTTAATTTTCAAAATCTCTATTTCTTGCAGGGCAATGATTATAGAAATTAGAGAATTATGGTACATGGATGATGGAGGCTTGACTAAAGAACTATGTGAAAAAGGTAAAATTATTGTTACTTTCCAGTTTTTCCATTAAACTTAACAGCGATAAAACTAAGATTTTCAACAGGTTGACTTGTTTGTATCAGAAGATAAGGACAAAACTTATCAAATATTAGAAAGAAGTATGTGTTTTTAAACTTAAAATAACTTACATTATTTACTGAGTTAACTCTTAGTTCTGCGTAGCTTGTATTGATTAGAAGTTATTGATAGCAAAGAACTATAAAAGCAGAAATGTTATGACTGCAGCTGAGCATTAACTAACTATTCACGAGGTATCTTTACTAGGTTAGTGAAGCACTTATCTCTTCGAAGATATGTGTATATGCATGGTAGAAGCCTTGTGAAAATATTATGTTCCTTTTAGCCAATCAGAATTTTAGCTTATTATTATAACGTTTATTTTTAGGAAAACAGATATTATCATTTCTAAGCTACGCTTTAGGTGACTCAAAAATTCACATAAGCCTATTACAATTTCACAACATGTGATGACCTTCACACTAATATACCCCTTCAATTAATAGAAGGTGAAAAGCATTAAACTGCGAATCTTCACTGAGATAATGACTAGCAGGAATTTTGTTCAGCTCTAATAGAATTAGCAGAGTGAAGACTAAGAACTGCAACACTGTGTTGGTATATAATACTTCCGCAAATACGTAAGGATGTGGGATTCAACTATACATATATTTTCAATTATACTTTTTTACTTGAAATACGACACTTTGACACTACCTTTGTTTTTTGTTAAATCCAAGTTAACTTAAAAGAAAAGCTCTTACGTTGATATGTATACAACCTTAAAGTTTAATTTTCAAGTGTTTTTTTCAACAGCAAAGCACAATAATTTGGCTGAATGGCTGTTATAATTAAAGTTATTAAATGGTAATATTAATAATCTGAATGAAATGAGCAGACTCGTTAATAACAGATTGTTTGGGGAGTTGAGGTGTGACGGCCTATATGGCTAATTTTGTTGTAAAGTAATGTAGAAAAAGAATTCAACATTCAGTTGCTATTCAATTGGAGGTGTATTTACACAATTTATGTTAATAATTTGTAGGTCCAAATGCCATACCGTAAGAATTTAACTCTCATGTTTCAATGTTGTGAATTCTGGGTAATGATTCATTGAGATCCTTTTACTGTGAGACTCTGAGAAGTGAAAAGACAAACCGTTTCTTTATATTGAGAAATAACAAACCTGGAAGACTTTTAGGCTAAGATGTGTAGACACTAGAGATTTAATATTTTGACACTGTATTACTTGGGAAAAATCAATATTTTTTCAGATGTTGTTATATTAGCATCTAAACAGTTATTGTTTAACTACAATGTTCAGAAACCATGTTTTGATACTGTTTAAATGGACAACTAAACAATTAATATTCTACGAATCTGTTACTTCAAAAACAAACAGTGAATGAAATTTAGTTAAATGGAAGGCAACTGCATATTGTTGAAGCACAAGTGTAGAGGACATCGTCACCTGAAGACGAAAGGTGGAAGACTTTCGAAACGTGGTCATCTATACTTGTGTTTTTTACAACAGGTAATTGCCGTCCATTCAAATAAATTTCACCATGAATATTTTGCCTAAACAATCTATCAAATACTATACAATGATTTTCATATTTAGCCCTATAAGTTAATTTCTTCTACTAAAGTTTAGTTTTAAAATACCTATGCAAATAACTTTGTTTAATTATTACTGTTGTAGAAAATTATATTCTTATCTTTCTGTAGATAGTTTCATTTTGTACAATAAATAAACTACTACATATGGGTGTTCTTTCTGCTTCTATCTCATCGAATAGAAATGATGGAAAGGTAAGCATAAAATCATCAAATAGTGTGGAAACTTAAACCCATTGGATACTTAGTCTGACTCATCACAGTTGATGGTACATCAATCTTTTACTAAGAGAGGAGGCTGATAAAATTCAAAGTTCAGTATGGCAGAAATGCTTTTATGAAAACAAAAAATTAACCAGTCAATTATAATACAGTTATTTATGATTATACATTCATTAGTAACATATAGATCTCACACATATATTTACATTATACTTAATATTGAAAATAAATTGTCCAAACTCTACATAATCATATATGTTCCATATAAATTCAAAACACTGTTTTATAGATTTAATGTTCACCATACTTTAACTTAACTAGTGATGGTCAGCTTTTGTATGTCACTGAACTTAAAAGTCTTTTAACAATATTTGCTAGTTCTTTCATTTTAAATAGTGATACAAAACACTAAGTGTGTATTCATGATATTCTATTTCTCAATATTTTATCGGGCATGTTAAATATGTGCATTTCGGTTAGTATCACGTGACATCTCCAAGCTACACTATCTGGTAGCAGACAACTTCCACCTCTCAAGAGTCATGGTGGCCCTAAAAACGCACCCTCTGGTACAATGACATCGTGGTCTCTTCCTCCTCCTATTCCTCTGACGCAGCCAATCATTGTGCGGTGTCTGAACAGCTCCCTTAACTAATGATACTGATACATACTATCTTGTTTTGCAGAACAAGAAACACGAGACGGACATCCAGCAATCATTGCAAACTGTTGTGCTTGTAATGAAGCTAAATACGAAGTTGAATTTGAAGGATTATGGTCTCGACAAACTCATCCTAAGGATTTTCCTTCAAGTAAGTTTAAATCATATTATTTAAAAAAAATATATCACTTCACTCTCTAGACATCTCATCAATGCTTTCCCTAGACATTCTTTTTGGAGTGAATATAAGGAAACAATTCAATAACGATTATTTTTCAAAGAAATACAATATACAACAAAACACACAATACACGACGTACAATACTTACACTGTTTAGACGTCTTGCAAAAGCATAAACACATATCATTCTTTCTCGTAATAAAATACATTGTAATGAAATACTTTAAAATAAGTATTCTGTAAAAATTTCTTTTTAACAAGGTACTTCTTAAAGACCTCCTTTCTAAAGGAGATAAATCCAAAACTTCCTTTCAGAACTGTGCCCATTAAAGACTTTTGTTATCTAAGTATACTTTGAATACATAATTTGAAATCAGTACACTATAAAGGATGTTTACTAACTTCCAGGCAAGTACATTTGGATAGACTTCGTTTCAGATAAGTACGTCATCAACAATTTGTTTGAACAAAGTGAAAACAAAAGTATTATAGTAAAATATGTAGAAAATCAAATTTTAATTCAAGGAGGTACACATAATATCCTTCAAAATGAGTAAATCCTTAGATTTTTTTTTCAAATAAGTGCACTCCAAGATTGATTTCAAGTACGTACATCTTCAAGAAGCCCTTCAAGTAGGTATACTCCAAATTATTTATTTTCAGATAAGTAATTTTAGAAAACATTTATTTTCAAGTAAATATACAAAAAACGTTTTATTGCCAATACAAATACCAACAATATTCTCAAAAGTATGCCATAATTACTTTTTCCTTTGTGATTAGGGGAAAGTGAGGTACGACAGTCTTTTAGGATAAAATGGCCATCCCTGTATATTTTCAGCACCACCATTAGGGTAAATTATATGTAACTATTGTTCACGTGATCCCGTGCATAAAGATACTGGCGGACTGGCGCGAATGTGATTTATCAGAGCGTGAGGGCCCCCAATAGCCAGGTGGATACGGCGCTTGTCTCGCCATTTGAGGGTTGCGGGTTTGAATCCCAGTCCCACCAAACATGCTTGTCTTTTAGCCGTGGGAGCGTTATAATGTGACGATAAATCTCACTATTCGCAGTTAAAAGAGTAGTCCAGGAGTTGGCAGTAGGTGGTGATTGACTAGCTGCCTTCCTTCTAGTATTTCACTCTTAAATTAGGGACAGTTAGCCCTCGTGTAGCTTTGCACGAAATTCAAAATAAACCCCTTTAATATTGGTTGATAAGAATGCATTTGATTTTTAAACTGATTTACGTAAGATGTTTTTTAAGCTGTTCAATTTATAATGATGTAAATTTTTATGTATTACAATTTCAAATAGCCTAAAACTGAGTTAAATTGTACTTAGATTTAGTAGTTAAATAAATGCCGATACGTATCCAATTTATGATATTTGCCAACAAGATTAATACACACAATTTTCTTTTTATTACAAATATATTTTAATATAAAATGAAGTAATAAAATTTACAATAACGGTTACTACAAATAATTATTACAAACAATGATTTATATACAAAAGTTTTACAAACTTACAAACAATATCTTCTTTCTGGTCTGGAAATTTCTTGATGCGTTATCGAGGGGTCACGATACACAAGTTAATTTCGAGTTGACGTTGGTACAATTCACTTAATCGAAAGCTAGCTCTGTGGTCTTTACTGATCACACGCCGATTGTTTCAACCGATGAAGTTAGGTAATGTTTTCGTAAAAATACTAATGCCCAATTTGAATCCCCTGAAATTAAATGGTTGTAATGTTCGAAATATATAAATGTTCTTGGTCAAATATCTGAAGTTTCCCGATTAATAAGCGTTATAACAATCACAGTTACATCTTCTGAAGTATATAGCACATCAACTCTATCAAACCAATAATATATATATTGTTTTTTGACGTGTCACGTTGGTTATATTTATAGGTGTGTGTGGAGAGTTTCTCGAAATTTCAGATTACGAAACAATACAAACGCTACACTAGCATTTACGTACACACGTATATTGTTTATTCTTACACTCTATACTCTTCTACAACTTTAGAGAATAGACGGGAATTTTGTAACACAGATTGAACAGTATAAGTTATGTACATTTCTAAATATAAATTTAATTTAAACAAACATCAATATTATAATAAATATATAATAGTAAATCCATCACACCTCCCTCCTTAAAGAATTAAGAATTGGCGTCAGCATGAGATATTATATATATACATTGACAACAATAGATTAAATATAATACATTATTCAAAGAATAATCATGACAGTATATGATACAAATAACCTTATGATCATAAAATTACATAGCACGTGAAATGGCATCAGCACAAATGTTATCAAGTCCTTTGATATGGATTATTTTCAAATCACACTCTCGTAGTGATAAACTCGAATTTAACAGTCTTCTGTTGTTGTTTTTTATGAGTGGATGTCCCATAGTGGGTAACAATACTAAAACCATGTCACCAGGATGGACCTTACGTTCCCCAGCCTTGCAGTCATAAACCTTTTTTTTATCTGATATTACGAATACTTCAACTTTTCTCGAGCCAATCTACAAGCACATAAGACTCTGGACCGAAACTTGGAAACATAATCCAACAAATGCATTTCTTTTGGATCATCTTCCAACCATTGTTCCTTCAGCAACTTGAAAGGACCATGTGATGAATGGCCAAACGGACTAAATCTTAACGACTCCTGAACTGACTCACGAACAACAAAAAATAATAAATTAACTCCTTCATCCCACTCCTTCTCGTTATTGAGAGAGTAAGTCCGCATAATATTTTCAAGGTAGAATAGAATCTCTCAAGAACACCTTGCGATTCTGGATGGTATGCTATAGATTTGATCTGTTTAGCATCGAGCTAATAAACAACTTCTTGAAACAATCCTGCATTAAAATATGATCCCTTATCAGATTGAACTTCTTTGGGCAAGCCAACAAAAGTAAAGAGATTGGTCAAAGCCTTAGAACATTTTTAGGCTGAAATTTTTCTCAAAGGAATAGCTTCAGGGAATTGAGTGGATGAGCACACGATAGACAACAAATACTGGTTCCCTGATCGAGTTTTTGGAAAAGGCTCAACACCCACCACAATCACACGACTGAAAGGTTCTTCGAAAGCTGGGTTAGGTTTCAGAGGAGCAAAAGAAATTTTCGGGTTAGTTTTTCTGGCAAACAGACAGATATGACAAGTTTTACAAAACTGAGAAACATCTTGCCTAATCTTTGGCCAAAAGAAATGTCTCATAATTTTGTCACACGTCTTGTTGAGACCTAATTGACCCCCCAGGGGGAGTTCATGGGTAACTTTCAATATTTCAGAAAGATATACTTTGGAAACAACGATTTGGTAACCAATAGCCTCGCCCTCTGAAGCTGGCAGATCTAGTGGTCTCCATTTCCTCATAAGCACGCCATTTTTGAAAAATAACCATTTGGAACTTTCTCCAGTTCATATTTTGGGAGTGCACAGTTAAAGAGTTAAGAGATCTGCGGATCCTTTTCTTGCTCAGCTATCAGTTTACTTTTAGTAAATGGAACTTCACCAGGTGAACTAAATCCCTCATATCCATAATTGTCATTCGCCGAGGTATCGTCAGAAGGACAATTATCCACAATATCCCAGTCGGATCCAAAATAAGTCTGAGACAAATCCATAATATCATCCTCTGAATCCATGTCTATCATTTGTTTTTGGCTTAATTTCTTAGCCTGAGCTCGAGTCACAGCCCATGGGTGAAATACATTGGGATTCTCCTCAATGACAACATCATCTTTAGATGAAACAGCGATCAGCTCACTAACCATTTTGGGTTTGGCAACAACTTTTCCCCCAGCCAAATCTTTTCCCAACAATATTGATACACCTTTAATTGGCAGAGTAGGTCTTACACCAACCACAACTGGTCCCAAAACTAGGTCTGATGCTAAATAAATGTTATTAAGAAGAACATTAACAAATCTACCCTCAATAGCCTCGAATATATCGGCATTTATTTAACTACTAAATCCAATGTACAATTTAACTCAGTTTTAGGCTATTTGAAATTATAATACATAACATAATATATTGGGGGCTCGTGTTCGCAATCTGAATTTGAGACAAAATTCGATCTAAATTGAAATTCAGTTTATATATATATATATAATATATATTAGTGTTAAGAAGATTTGATCATGTCTGATTATCAAGATTTCCTTGAATCACCCTCCCTCGAACAATTAGAATTATATTACAAAAATGAATTGCTCGAAATTGCCAAAATTTTAGAACTAGAAGTTAAAAGTTCAGTGAGAAAAAATGAACTAAATAAGTGTATTATTGAAATGCTAGTTGATGATGATCTGTTGTGAGAGGAAGCATTATGGGAATACTCTAGTGTTTCCACTAGCCAATCAGGGTTGAGTGATAAAGATAAATTAGAGATCCAGCTAAAACTCAAGCAAATCGAGCTTGAACAAGCTCGTATCGAAGCCGAGAAAGAACAAACTCGTATTGAAGCTGAAAGAGAAAATAAACGTCTCGAGGCCGAACAAGCTCGTATCGAAGCTGAAAGAGAAAATAAACGTCTCGAGGACAAAAAAGCTCGCATTGAAGCCGAAAAAGAAATTAAGCTGAAAGAAATGGAAATTAGACTCAACTCCGATCGACCAAGGCAGAATGATAACTTTGAACTTAATTGATATGTTAAAGTACTATCATTTAATGAAAATGAAGTTAATGAATATTTACAATATTTTTAGAAGGTTGCTCAAACCATGGAATGGCCCACCAAAAAACGGTCATTATTATTACAGAGTTTTTAACTTCTAAAGAAGCTTATGCCACTCTCTATCTAAAAGATTGTACGAATTATGATAAAGGTAGCTATTCTCAAAGCATACGAGTTAGTACTAGAGGCTTATCGCGAAAAGTTTCGAGGTTATCACAAGCAAGATAATCAAATTTATATGGAATTTGCCCACGAAAAAGAGGTTTATTTTGATCGATGGTGTAATTCTATGCATATTGGCAATAGTTTCGACAAACTAAGACAATTATGTCTAATTGAAGAATTTAAACATTGTGCACGTGATGACCTCAAAACTTACTTGGATGAAAAGAAAGTTGAAACACTACAGGAAGCACTACACATAAAACCGCTTTTCATAAAAAGAAATTCCTACTACCTCAGCAAAAAACTGTATATGTTCAATCCACTAAAGTTGAGATTCTTCTAAAAAATACAGCTCTTCTAGTTCGAACTCTTCTTGCAGTCAGGATAAAACTTCATCAAAACCATCAAGGTCTGTCTGCCACTTTTGTAAAAACCTGGTCATGTTATGTCCCCTTGTTGGTGTTTGAAAAAAAAAAGAAAAGAAAAAGAGGCAACACCCAATGCGTTAGTGTCCACATATGAAAGTAGTTTCACCAGATTAACCGATGTTGTTGATTTGGCCACGGATATTAAAGGCTGATGTAATCAGGGAAGAATATAAACGTTTTATGTCTGTTGGTTCTGTGTCCTTGGCAAATGACACTGCCAATCCCATACTCATACCTATTCTACGTGATACTGGGGTGACCCATTCATTGTTGTTAGAAGGTATATTGCCTTTAGATTCGACTTCTAATATATGAACATATTAAAATAAATATATAATAGTAAATCCGTCACAAAATAGGTAAAATAGGAAATAAATAAATACATATTAGATATGATCTTTATATTTGGATATAGAAAAAAGTGAAAATAAGATAAGTCTTAATTTTATATTACGTATTTAACTAATACTGTTGTCACGGTGTTATTATATTAGCAGATTAATTGAATTAGTTTAAATTTAACTTGCGTATAATTAAATTAAATAAAAACAAGGCATTCGTCATTTAAATCTTCCCCCAATAAGACCTTTATGGCGACAAATTTCAAATTTCTATTAATTCTTTTATTGATTTCTTAGTTTGGAAAATTACCTGTTCATCTTCTCAGTGAAATCAATATTTACATTTGTTCTTCAAAGCAAATTTTCGTAAAAAAAATAAAAAAGCCTATAATTTTGGTTCTTTAAAACAAGTTTTAAACTGGTGCTAGTTTTCTAAAACAGTGATTAACTGATATGAAGAAAAAATCAGTGCTTTCACTGTATAAAACTAAAAAAATGACAAGAAAGCATAAATACAGTCTATTAATGGATTGTTCTTCCTCCTTTTGCTTGATGGGCCCGCATGGCCAGGTGGTTAGGGAACTCGACTCGCAATCTAAGGGTCGCGGGTTCGAACTAAAACAAATGACAAAAAGTCGTAAATTCGGTTCAACAATGGAGGGTTCTTCATCTCAAATGTCATGCTCTTTCTACGTTAAAAGCGTTTAAAACAAGCTGTCTCATACCTTATTAATGTTTCCACATTAGATTTCCTTCCGACTGAAAACGTTAATAATAATAAAAATTTTGGAATGTTGCTATTAACGAGTTACACAAAATATTAGTAGATTGAATGCAGCGGATATTAATGATTTAATTACAGAACTTGTGTAATTAAATTCTAAAACTTTGAGTCGTTAAACATTATATTTAGTATGATAAGAAATTTAATATAGGTTGGTGGTTTGGGTGACATTACATCACAAAGGACTGGTCATAGATTTCAATAACTCTTTCTTTACTAGCTCTATGCGATTTTCCAGTAAGAAAAATAAAATAGCATCTCAACTATGTACCATAACATTTAACATACTTTCATTTCACAAAAATGTATTTAATTACATTTGTTTGCGATTTTTTAGTGTCTAATATTATTTAATTGTTGTATAAAAATATTGTCCTTGTTCAAGATGTTTTATATATTCTGCACATTTATATCAACTTTCCATCTTACGTGACGATATTCTGTTATTCACTATTTTCTTTTTTGTCTCGATCTTGTTTTGTGATGAGACGTTTGATTTAGCTAAAACAGTTTGTCCCTGAAGAAGAAAGGCCCACCTTTCGAAAGCGTTCGGGTAAAAGGGTTTTTATCATTTGGTATCAAGACTTCTTGAACCTACGTGTTTTTCTGACATCATGAATAATTTGATAAGTATTATTTGATAGATTATTTAGGCAGAGTGTTCATGACGAAACTTTGTAGAATGAACGGCAACTTCCTGTTTGTTATATTTAATATCAATATATGCATATATATCAAGCACCAGAGAAGATTTTTGAACCGTAATCAATATTAGATCAAATATTTAAACTAACTGTTTCATATCGAGCTAAAACCGTAAGTCACTAGACATTTTATTTTCAAAAGTGGTTTAAGTCTCATGATATTTCAGTATATCGTTCTTGCTTATAGACTTTTCTCTAATAAAAACAAATAAATTCCATTATTATCCATATAATAATGCTAAAAATACAGCTCAAAGCATCTTCGAAGAACGAAAGCTACAATAAATCAAATTTGTTTTTCGATTACCTGTTGATGATGATAAAGTAAAATGAAAGATAGAATTAATTCTCATCTTATACTTGTTTAATTGCATTTAATTTAATATATAATAAAATATAAACACAGAAAAATGTAATTAAAAGATACTGATGGTTAGTCGCACCTTATAAGAACGGATTCGGGTTCCGACTACCCTTGGAACTACTGCACTTTCTACATAGGCGACCGTGCCCAGACCAGTGGTCATTATTACACAATATTAACCAACACCACAGTTTACATCATGGCAAGCTTCAACAAAGGATAATAAGGCCCATCTTGAGCAACATATTTTAATAGCCTTTCTTCAGCTTCACTGAACGTTGATTTCCAAGACCACGCTACAGAAGATCAAATGTATAGAAATACATTGATATTATTCCAGTTTCATTTGCCATCTTTATCACTACAATATCTGTTGATTTTGAAATGTGGTTGGAAGCTTTGGGAATTTTAGACCGAAAGGCTTCGTACATTTCAAATATTGTCTGTTATCTTGCTAACGGTATCGAAAATTTGTCCGGAGTCACAAGATTTTCTTTTTCGACCACAGCCTTTACTTTACTAGTGAGGGCGTTACTACCAATTTTCTTGTGGTGTTGTTTCTGAGCCCACTGCTCTCCTGTGGAGAACACCAAGTAGTTCGTCTTTTAAATATTGAAGTTGTGTGCTTTGGTTCGTTTTATAACCTCGCAATACAAATTTCTTTCCACATATAGAGCTGTTGTAACGATCTAAAATGAATACACCGCTATATTTACGGTTTAACAATAAAATGCCCCCCAGTGGCACAGCGGTATGTCTGCGGACTTACAACGTTAGAATTCGGGTTTCGATACCGTGGTGGGCAGAGTACAGATAGCCAATTGTGTAGTTTTGTGCTTAATTACAAACAAACAAACAAACAAACAAGAACAAAAATATTTATTCACAATAACAACACTTAGAAATAAATTCAACACTTACCAAAAAAGTTAATAAACAAGTGTCTGGCCTAGACTTCACACCAATAAACAATTAATCAAAAATATTATTAAATCAGTAATAACGAAATCAGGAAAAGAACCTGAAATAAAAAAAAAACTTATTCCAAAAAATAAATAAATAAACTACAGCAAATACAATATTCCAACAATATTTTTCAATACTAATAACAATATCGAGTGACAAACCGCAATAAATATACCCTTCACTAACTATCTCGTGACTCTATGTCTCTTTTAGTGAAGATTCTGGCAGGGTATTTATTCACAGAGTTAGGTCACGAGAGTACGAACTCATGTTATCACATGTTTACATACTCTTCTGCTACATTAATAGTATCTTTACGTCACCGATAGGGAAGCTGGTGTCAGTTTCATCATACACACACATATTTATTCAAAATACAAATGGTTAGCTAGAAGGTGAGTTAAAGTTTTAATGCAACAAAAATTCATAGATAAACTAAACGATAGAAGGAAATAATAAATGAACGATAAACACAACCATAATCATAAAAAAAATATAATTCGCTATCTCACACTGTGACATAGATCTCTAGCCATAAGTGGTAGCATTATATTGTCGGATGGTCGAGAATTCGTTGTGAACCAAATATATGGTTATTAAATATGTCGCCCGTAGTGCTAAACTTAGCATTTGTGGCGACACGTCACTGCAGTAACACACGCAATTCGTTTTATAAAGTGCGGTTAACTCTCTGTACCAAGAGAAAAATTTTATTACAATCACAGTAATTTAACTTTAGATTTATATGTTAGATGAATGGATGACGCAATTTCTGGACATCACTGGTGCTTCACACACGGCTAATTTTCGTATGTGGGAATATGGCGGTTTTGCTACCGAGGGTGTTCGTCATTTAGGGGAGCAAGGTACACCCATAAAGCTTGAATCTGAACTTAAAACACAGGTAAAAAAGTTGTGTGGCATTAAAAAAAAACTCTTACTATATTTTTATAGTTCATTTTGATTTCCTTTTAGACATATTAACTCTTGAGTTTCATTTGTCTAACAAGATAGAAATAAGTGAAGTAACTACCGGTAGAAAATATAACATAAATATGATATACTAGTATTATTTGTTGTAAAAATGATAAACATTTATGAAGCAATATAATTCATTATGTAGAAAATACATATTTATGATATAGTACTGTTATTATGACAGCCCAAAGTCCTTGTGAATGTAATAAAAGTCTATAAAACAGATTCATTAATTGTGAAGATATGAAATTTAGGTCATACAGAAGTAAAATACTTGTTTTACATTGTAATAAAAGTCATACATTTTTGCTCTTCTTTGTTTACAAATGTAAACTGTTTAACCACCCACAAATTTTCTCATTGCTCTACCTCGTCATAGTCAGAAAAAATCCGAACCGTTATCAAAGCAAGGGGATTACGGTATCCAAACTTGAACGGAAAAACATTTGCTGTATTTCGAGTTGACAAAACACACCACCTGATGTCACTACTGAGCAAGCTAAATCCGAGTCCTGATTGGTTCGTCGGAATTAGTGCTTTGGAGTTATGTATGAAAAACTGTTCTTGGGTAACCAACAAAGTTATAAATCTTTATCCATGGGATGCTGGGATAAACGATGGACGATCCTATTTAGTAAGTGTAAAGTCTAGATCTAGGCCGAAAATATCGCTAACGCCGAGGGTACCCAAATGATGAAACATTACATTCTAATCTTTTTAAATATAAATGTAAGAACACTATATTCATTTAGCTATAAAGATACTGGATTCATTTTTAGTTCTAATGTATATAGGTAGCTTGCTTTAATCAGAAGTTAATACTAATATAATAAGGATCTTCTCAACATTTATTATCTACGTTTCTTTGACAACGGTCTTTATCACTTTATATTCACATGCATTTTTATTATTTTTTATTTGATATCAATAACATATTCTGTGGAAGTTCACAAATGTTGTAACTTTGACCTTTTTGTTATCAATCTGTTCTTTATACGTGAATTTACCGCGAGGAATTGTAAATAAATTTTCTAAATTTAATAATTTAATGATAATAATAATTTACGAAGCATGAAAGAAGGTGTAACTTGTACGAAGAAGTAACGTAACATACTTTATTAATTTAGAAATCGTACTTCCGTATTTTTAATATATATATTAATAGATAGATATTTGTCAATAATTTTTTAATGAAAACTTTAAGATGTTATGCATCAAATATAACTTATGTTTCGAAAGCTCTGAATCATATAAGTTAGCTATAGCATTACCTGATAAAAATTATTGAATACCGTGTTTTAATAAATACAACTAGTAATTTAATCTAAATAGGAAACATTCAGTAACGACCAGGAATTTAATTACTAAGTTTTGCTAACGGCAAGCTTCATTGTTTCAGTTTTGATTCTGGCTGTTCATGAGGCTAAGAACCTAAGTGTTTTGAATTCTTGAGAGCAATGTTTAATGGGAAAATCAACAGAAAAATCACGTGTATCTTTCTATTACAGCAACTCAGTTGTGAATTCTTTCTTGAAAGAATGCAGTTGTAGTGATGCGTAATGAAAGACCTCTTTACCTTGAGGACAGTTAATGATTGTCAACCATGTAGGCCAGAATGTGAATAGTTGAGAAACTATAGTAAACTGCAAATTTATTTAATGGCAGTAACAACAGACAAATAAAAGTTACGGTGCAACATTCAAGAATAAAACATACAATACTTTTATCTCACAACTACTAAGATATAATATTTTGTGGACCAATAAAAATATATCATCATTAAAAACAAGAGACCAGCAATTTAAAAAATAGCAACAGAAATAGAGTAGCAAATGCTTTTCTTAGAAATGTGACTTGAAGAATATTATCTTTAATAAAAATCGTAATTTTTAATGTTTTTTGGCAAAATTGTGTAAAATATAAAAATTTATAATTCTAAAGTTGTTATTAATAAATAACTTTTCATTAATATACAACTTTGATTAAAATAAATTAATATTTTTTGTCTTTGGTTTCTATCTCCTTTAGTCTGAATCCTCTCCAACAATACCACAAGAAAGAATAAAAATGTTAACTTCAAGTGACCCAGAAACGCCCTTCTTCGATCCTACTGGAAATCCCATAAAACCAGTAGTAAGACTAACAATTACACGACAAAGAATTTATGAGAAATCATGTGAAGTAACTGTGAACTCTGATCGAATCTCAGGAAAGACAGGAAACGAAAATGAGTATGAGCAAGGTATTTCTTTGCAGTTCTGCACTATAAAATAAACATAATTAGTTGTTGTCGTGTTTGTTTTAGCAAATAGCTACACAAGGGGATATCTGCGCTCTATCTGCTGCAAAGCTCGAGCCCCAAATTTTAACTTTATATGCCCTCAAGTTTACAATTGAGCTACGAACTGTAGTTAGACATTTTTATTAAAACAAAATGTCATATTTATTTCAATAGTTATTGTCATTCCTTTTTATGTCCTCCATTTTACAATTATCTATCTATCTACTTTGTTTTGTATTCTTTCTGAGGAGTAAGGTGGCAGTATGTTTGAGTAAATGTTTTAAACTTTTTAGTTCAAGCTGTTTCATGCTAGTATTCTATATTTATTATCACATTTAAAGAGAGACACGTATAATCATACCAAACACAAAATTCCAATCTGTCTTTTTACTTTTTTAACATCTGTATCTATACCTCATTTCAAAATAAAGTACTGTTTTGTTACATATAAAACATAAAATATATATTATATATATATAATAAAACAAAAGGATCTGGGTTCGTAATTGTATAATACTACACTTCACATATTACTGTCATAATTATCTTACAGAGTTTGTTTTAATAGCCAGGCGAGGGATTCAACCATATTGACAGCACTGGGAAAATGGATGTTGGAACTTACACGAGATTATTTGTTTATTATGCAAGGTCACTTCAAGTAAACTGATTAAATACCGATTAAAATAACGAAACAAGCTGAATTTTAAACGGTTTTACAAGTTCCTATAGAGGTTCATTGAACAATATTTTGAAGATCTTGAATTTCAATTAGTATTTAATATTCTATGTTTGTTGTCATACACCGAACTACACAATGGGCTTCAGACCTCTCCCCACCATGAGTGTCTAAACCAGACTTTTGGCCCTATATGCGCTACTTACCACTGAGCCAGGGGGTGATTATTTTGTATCGTATGAAATTTGTAAACACTAAAAACTTTGATCCTTAAAACATATACTTAAATACCAGTTAAAATAATGAAACAAGCTGAATTCTAAACGGTTTTACAAGTTCCTGTTGAAGTTCACTAAACAATACTTTGAAAGAAAATCTTGAATTTCATAGAGTTTAGTATTGTTTATTGTCATGTGCAAAACTATACAATGGGATGTCTGAGATCTGCACATCACGGTTATTGAAACCTGACTTCTAGGCCTACTTACCACTGAGCCACCAGGAGGCGATTGCTATATCGTGTGAAAATATTTAAATACTGGAAACGTTGAGTCTTAAAACATATACGTTTGTTTATTTTAAAGTCACATTGGACTATCTGCTCAGTCCCCCGCGAGGAACTGAACCCCGCATTTTAACCTTGTAAGTCCATAGACTTTCTGCTGTCTCACTGGAGGACACATATACGTCAGGCTTTCATTTGTAGTTAACATTGAGCTACAAGATTGTTTCTTGTTTTTATATAATCGACATTATGATAACAATTTTAATGACATGTGAAAGAAGCCAGTAACTAAAGCATCACCAATAAATCTTGGTTGAGTACATTTAATGTCTACACTTTTACTTTGTTCCAAAGTTATGAAATCTATACCTAAATTATACTAAACGTTTGACAATATTCTGCTATGCAAATGAACTAATTTAATATCTCTATTGTTTTGCAATAAAAAATATAAATTTTTTTACTGTATTTTAGAAACATTAACGTATATACGCATAGAGTTTAACGAAATACGAAAACATATAGACTTCAATGACGTATTTGATAGGATATTTTCTACTTCATATACACTGCTCAAAATTTACAAAACATTTATTTTAACAATTTACAGAATTTTACAATGAAATTTTTACAATAAGATCACTGTTCATACTTACAAGCACAATATATATAAGAGGTTCTGTGTGTTTAGATCAGAATCTCATATTTCTGAAAGAAATAAGTATACCTGAGGTTTAGTCACATATAATTTTGTTTACAGTTATGCTACAGATTTCTTTTATAATAAACTTATTTAGAAATATCAAAAATGCTTAACCTACAGGAAAATCATTGCAAGTGATAAAGACAAAGGTTTTGGTGATGGAAGAAAAATGAGTCAGTCTCGCGATAGTAACAAATATGCCACTGCATTTAGCTTATTTTAGAAAAAACCTCTTTTATCCTGACCTGAGAAAATGTGCCGTGACAGAATGGGCAGACTTCACCTCGTGCAGCGTGTCGTGCGGACGAGGATTACAGTCGAGGACCAGAAGCTATATAAATGAAGAAAATGCTCGGATTATGGAATGTGACACGAATCTTGTGGAGAAGAAGTTTTGTGATACTGTTTGCGAAGGGTAAGCTACTGATGTGAAACAAGCAACATGCACAGATACTAAAACAAAACAATATTATAAATAGTGTTTTTGGTTAAATAATGAAAAACATAAAGTCAAGAAATGTTTTACAATCATGTAAGGTCCAACACATGTGTTTAATATTGATGTGCCACGTATGAAATAAGATATCCATAAAACATCTTTAGTTTAGTTGAATGATGCTATAACTATGTATAATCACATATAAACAACAATAGTAACAAAAAACTCAATGGCGTCAATAACAACAAATCAGCAGCTTTGAGACTGAAACTGATATACTAGTTATTAATAACAATCCAATAATGAAATCGTGTTAGCTTAAACCTAACTACCAGTTTTAATTGAGGTTGCTTTGACAGTTTAACTCATAAAGTTAATGCAACCTAGAAAAAATGAGCGCATCAACGACATTAACTTAAGATATACTAACTATAACAACTGTAGTTGAGAAGTAGTAAATTTTTATCACCAATTAATTAACCTTATTATTCTGCTAGATAAAAAACAATGACAGTCAATTCCTCATTTATAAAATATACACAGGATAATATTATTCTTAAAATTAAAATAAAATAAATAAAAGACAAAATTACTAACAAAAGAATATGATAAAGAAGATGAACTTTATAGTCTTTAAGGTCTGTTCATAAATTGTCCAATCCGTTTTCAGGATGTGACAGAACCAGATGACAGAACGTAAAACGTTCTAAGAAGGAAAAACTATCGTTATTAGTTTTATATTATGTTGTATATCGATCGGTCGCATTTATATTTTACGGATTAAGAATTGTAAGACTTGTAAACATTTCGGAATTCTTAGGAATGTGAGTTGCCAAATAAGTGACTGGAGTGAATGGACTTCCTGTAGTGTGGCTTGTGGAACTGGTTTAAGGACTCGTCGTAGACATTATAAGAATCTTATTGCTCACCACGTGTGCCGAGAAGACTTGATAGAAAAAGAAGCATGCATGGAAAGCAGAAACTGCGAAGTAAGTTTCAATTAAATTCATGGGCACAATATACGTTCCTTACTGAGGTATCTTGGGAAATATATTTATATTCTCCATTTTTATTTTGATGTGTTTGGACTTGTTCGTGATATAAAAAAATTATGGATACCAAGTTAAAATACAATTTTTTTCTTATTAGAAGTGCAGGTAAACATACAAAATAGCGTTAGAATAAATTTAAAGTATAAAACTATGGAATATTAGAAATGTATCTAGTTTAAAAGATATTTTCCACTTAATAGTTTTTTATAGCTACTTGATAGAAACATGTATGAGCTTTTCTTTCGTATACTTAAGATTAACTTACCTTATGAAACACAGGATTGTAGCAAAATACTGTTGCATTAAAGAAAAATTAATAATTCTGTATTAAATTTAAAATATATATATATTATGTAAGAAAATATAACAATATTTACTTTCATTTCTAATGTTATCGTTAAATTAGAATAATTCAGAAACGGTTATTTAATATATTTTAAGACGCAATATACGTTGAACTTGTCCCCTAGTGGATCAGTGCTGTGTTTATGGACTTTCAACGCTAATATCTGGGATTCAATTCCCACAGTAGACAAAGCGCAGAGAGCTCATTGTGAGCTTGACGCTAAAAATATGACAACGGCATGTTAAATTTTGAATGTTTTTGGTTTTAATCTCAAATATTTTGTTTACTATATCATTGCTAGACTTTTTTGGGTTTATCAATACTACTAATAATTTTTGTTTATATTTATGGAATATGCCCGGCATGGCCAGGTGGATAAGGCGTCTCGACTCACAATCTGAGGGGGGCGCGGGTTCGAATCCGCATCCCACCAAACATGCTCGCCCTTTCAGCCGTGGGGGCGTTATAATGTGACGGTCAATCCCACTATTTGTTGGTAAAAGAGTAGCCCAAGAGTTGGCGGTGGGTGGTGATGACTACACTGCTAAATTAGGGACGGCTAGCGCTGATAGCCCTCGTGTAGCTTTGCGCGAAATTCAAAAAACAAACAATTTATGGAATATTACTTTATAACTATGTAACATGTTTACAATTCGATAGAAATAAATGTTTATGTAAAAGAAATAAAATATAACAATATTGACATCTTATGTAAAAATATTATTAAAATAATTAATAATGACAACAAAATAATGTAATTTAATAATTATGGAAGGATAAAAATCCATTATTTAATTTTTTAATGCTTATTGGCGTATAGAAGAGATTTTATACTATAAATAAACGACCTTATAATACCAATTTGTTGTTTTTATTTGATTAGACACTCAACGTTTCGCTTTACAACTTCTTCAAGAGCATTCCATTAAAACACAAACCGAAACTGACAATACAAAAAAAGCTGTTTTTTTGTGTGTGTTATAAGGTCGTTTATTTCTAGCATTAAAATTTCTAGGCTAAAAATCATTTATGTTAGTGTTGATCTTACTTTTATCTTGTCACCTAGCAATTATTTCCCAGTTCCACACTTACTCAGTTATTTAGTTGTTAGATGTCACAAACAGTATCTTGATTCTGCCTGAAGTAGTTGACAATAATAATAATAAACAATTATCTCTAACCTATTAAGTATGTCATATTTTATATTTAGATATACTTATATTTGGTTATGTATCTGTTATCAAAATAAAATTTATTTATTTAGTTCATATTTATTGACATATTCTCATGTAAGAGAAATATACTTGTTATTGATTGAAATATCAGAAGTCACACACAAACTACAACGATTAACGGATTGTATGATTCGCTGTAATTTGAAACGCTCATTCAACCAAAGTACCGGAGCAATAAACTTATGAACTTTTAAACATGATAATGATGAACTAAAGTTTAGGAAATCGACTCACAATGATATTTTGCACTCGGGGGTGTGATATAATGGTGGTTAAATATCATTTTTGACTAACTATATTTAAAAAATGTCTTTTTCAAGATATCTCTTAAGTAATTTAACAACCCAAGAAATATTAAAATATATTAGTTTTTCATTTAGGAATTTTGAAGTATTGTAATGATAGACAGGAAGCCATACTTAATTTTCTTTTACAAATGACATTAAGATATAGACAACAATATAAATTAACAATTTTCATAATGCATAAATTCATGCTTTTATTTTCAAGTAATATAAAGACCGCCAAGGGAGATGTACTGATAGACACAACATGTAAATTTACGTTTAACTAATTCACAGAACACTGTAAGTTAATTTTCTCAAGTGATGTAATAGTTCATACAACAATGTAAATTAGGGATTTTTCAGGTGTTATAATGATTCACGCAGCAAATATAAATTAACTATTTCTCAACTGATGTAATGGTTAAGGGAACAATGTAATTTAATGGTTTCTCAATTAATGTAACGATTCACGAAACAATATAAATTGTTAATTTTCCAACTGATTCACTCAGTAGTGTAAATTAGAAATTTTTCAAGTGATGTAATGGTTCATACGACAATTCAAATTAATTGTTTTCCAATTATTTAAATAATTCAAATACTAATTTAAATAAATGATTTCCCAAGTGGTGTAAATATTGAAGCGACAGAGTATTTTAAGAGTGACATTATAAAAGACTCGTTACTATACAGTATTACTTGTACCCGACAGGTAAACAGTAAGTGTGCTGTAACTCAATGGTCTGAGTGGTCGCCATGTACTGTCACCTGTGGGAGGGGGATGAAGATTCGAACACGTCTTTACTTGCTTCCTTCTGTACTATCCTTGTGCAACAGGGAACTCATGCAGAAAGCCACTTGTGAAAGAGAAAGTTCTGCTTGTTTCTCTCAGTTTTCAGACGCCAGGGGTAAAGCATACTTTTCCTTATTTAATATTCCTAAAAATTAATTTCGTAACATTTTTTAAAATTAATTTCACAGAAGTGTCATCATATGACCACCCGATAGCAAAGCGTTAAGCTTGCGGGCTTATAACGCTACATAATGGGGTTCGATACTCGCGGAGTACACTGAGCAAATATCCCGTTGTGTAGCTTTGCGTTTAAATATAAGTATCACATATTAAGTTGAAAGTGAAGTTAAAGTCTAATATTTATTTGACATCCTTATTCCCGGGCAATAAATTTTAAATTATGTTTAAATGTAGCGATGGTGCTTTTAATCTTTTTTTTTTTTTGGCTCCTGGTCAAGGAAAGACTACATTTCAGTATTTTATTTTTTAACTTTTGAATCTCTGAGTAGCGTGATGGTCCACGGTCTTATCCTTATTTAAAATGGATATGATATTGTATTGTATATTATTATATTATACATTTTTTAAGGTTTATTTTAATTATTTTGTCTTAAACATTTTAGAGATATGTACGCAGCCAAAGAATGCGGGTCCCTGTCAAGGTATGTTTAAACGTTGGTATTATGACACAAACATGCAGGCTTGTATTCAGTTCGTCTACGGTGGTTGTCGTGGCAACAGAAACAACTTCAATCTCTATGCTGATTGTAGAAAAACATGTGAAAACATGTTGAGAGGTACGTCATTAAAACGATAAATATAATGCAAAGTATTTCTGTTACTTTAATTACCCCCAACCCATCCACCCGACATTATGAATACCATAATAGTAACTATTTATCCACGAATATAGATATTGGTCCATTAAATGGTTTCCTTTTTCTGGGTGATAATGGAGAAGGCTAATTTTGGCTTTAAACTGATCTCAGAATATAAAATGTGAATGTATTTCGTAGTCGCTTGTTTCTACACGAATTTCTTACTACGTGAAAGGTTTCATGACTTGTAAAGTTTAACCTTAAAATATTTTGTAACTTTATGTTATCTAACTGCTTACGTTGTTTACTGGCTTGGATTGAAAAACGTAAAGTTGGAGAAATACTAGAAACTTAAAACGCATCTCATTCGGCGAGAAGCGTACGTAAGGGGTTGTAAAACCAGTCTATTATAATACTACTTAGTTTTTGTCTGTCCTGAAAATGCGCATGCATGCGTACTTTATTTCAACGGATGTAAAACTAATTCAGCATAAACTTCAGCATTATGTTTATCGGATTAATCCTAAATTATCCTATCAACGTTTTCTGTATACTACTTGAGAAACACACACGTTTTACTGGCGAAGACAAAAAAAAAAAGACTTAAAAGAAGTAAAGATCTGTTCGTTCTAGTTTTAAAAGAAATTTCTGAAAAGTGCTAAATATATTACAAATGTATCAGTATTGTGAAGACAATTATAGTTTAAATCATTGGAAAACAAGGTTGAGTAATTTCGAAAGATTTTTAACATTAGAAATGTTTTTGTTAATGAAAAAACTAGCTTAGTTTATACATATTTAAAAATCTTTAAAGAACACTGTTTTGTTCAAATTTCCCTAGCCTCAGTAAACGTTCGTGTGGCTGAAACATTAAAAACATTTCTTGCAACATCTCTTGTTTTCAGATCAATTGCATAACTACAAAATATGCCCCCTCCAATAAAAAATAATTGGACCTTAATTGTAGTTACGATTCTGGCTGAATGATATCAATAACTTAACAGAATAGTGCAACATCTCATTAGTTCAAACAAATTGAACTCTGTATCTCTCTTTGTCGGCAATATTTAAGTTTGTCAGGCCCTTAGGGCCTCCTTTTGACTCGGCTCCTCCGCAATTTCGGAGCCATACTTACGTCACTGTTTCAAATATTAGTTTCTCTGTAGTTGCAGTTTCAAATCGTTGCAGTACAATCTAAATGTACGGTTAATGATTAACATCCATGATTCTTTTTTTCACATCTTTAGACTCTCTGCGTTATTGTGAGTTAAAACATCCGCATATTACCTTATAAAATCACTTAAAACCCATCTGATCTTATTTCAAATTTCGTTGAATGTAATAAAAGCCTGCTTTTGGGGCACTTATTTCTTGTTTCTTACACGCCGCGGTTTTACTAACGTGTCTTGTTCTGTAAGTGGTTCCTACGAATTCTGATGCGATGTGTTTAATAATGACCTGTGACCTTTTCCAAAAGTCCTCTTTTGATGTTACGAATACATTTAACCTCCTGACAAACAAAGCAACAAACAATATCGCAAGAACTTATCAAACTGCTGAGTGACAAATATAGATTTTTTTTTATCTTTTTTATAAATTCGGAATAAAAAAATCTGTTATGTTTGCAACCGGAAATACTTACATTTATGGGCATAACACAACATGCCTCCTTTGAAAGACGTTTTGTGTTATTTTTTGTGTTCAATACTATGAAAATATTACTGTTTCGCCTTAAGTCATTATGTTTATTATTATGAGATAATTTTGAATGAAAACATTTGTTGTATTATCATTTTTGATGTGAGTTTAGAAAATAAAGTGTATAAACGTATTAGTTAAGTTATTCTGTAACATTAGTATTTATAAACATTAGAATTATAAACAAACTCATTGTCTATAAACTCTGACACTACTGCGAATAAAAAAAAGGATTTTAAACATTAACATGTGTTTATTTACTGGTTTAGTGAACACATAATCGAAATAATTTCGGTTATTAATATGTTTTGTTTTCTCCTCATTACAATGTATTTTATAACGTGTTTTCTTTTTTATAAGGACCTCTTTTTTGTGACACGATTATTTTTTATTTTGCTGTGAACAATACTCCTACATAACAAAAAGATCCATTAAGTCATTCACGATATATTAACATTTTGAAGAATCAAATGATATAACTGGTGTAGTGCTTTTATAGAACAATCTACTTGCTTCTTATACGTAATAATTCATTCAACGACTTGGTTATTAGTTTAATTTCTATTCGTTGCAGCGATAAGAAATGGCAATGTTGGATATACTTTGAACGAAGCCCAACGAAAATCTAATCTCAAAGGCTTGATCCGTTATACTAAATTGGAAAGAAAAACAAAGAAGACGAGAAAGGAATAACTTCTGATTGAGGGGAGATGAGATTGTCTGATTATAAAGAAAGAGATGGTCTCACCTAGTGCTACTTTGAGGCATCGAGTTTATTATTTTAGCCCTAGTGCTATCTTGAGGCATCGAGTTTATTATTTTAGCCCTAGTGCTACCTTGAGGCATCGAGTTTATTATTTTAGCCCTAGTGCTACCTTGAGGCATCGAGTTTATTATTTTAGCCCTAGTGCTATCTTGAGGCATCGAGTTTATTATTTTAGCCCTAGTGCTACCTTGAGGCATCGAGAGCTCGCTTAATCGTATGATTTGCGAATTGTTTTTGTCCTATCCCCCTCACTTTCAGTTGCTAAATAATATATAACGCATTCATCCTTAATAGCCAGTAGATAGCCAGTGACATAGATAATGATTGAGGAAACACTCATTCGTTATTTTATTTTTTGCGAATACAATACATGACTGCATCTTTTACCCATAGATTTACACCCAATTAAAATATTATATATAATTTAGTTTTAAGCGTAAAAAATTGCCTGAAAATTAAATATATATATATAAATACAATTATTTTTTGCATTGTACAAAATCTTCAAAACAGCACGTTATAGATTAACACGAACAGGCTTCGTGACAATATTATTTATATTTTTCAGATTCTGATAGCGGAGAGGTGGCATATTGTGAAACAAAAGTGTTTTAATAAATGGCTGTGATTCCTTCATAAACAACACCTACTCTGATCCTTCGTCTCGGATCGCTTTTTAAAATCTATGCTTTGTAGAAACAGTAGGTTAAACATTTAAAACCGTGCAAAGGTAGACAACCAGTGATAAATAGCAACTGGATTAATCTGTCCCGTTAGTACTAGAATACCTTTATTAGAATAATAAAACCATACAGTATACCATTAAGTACACTTTACGTACAATCCTTCACGTTCATACAAAAATTTGTATTCAAAGAGGGAAGCAGCTGTAGGGCAACAATAATGATCAACGCTTTTCTTTTAGTGTTTCACCGTAATACTTCTGGGGACGATTAATATTTCAATAATACTCAGTATTTCAATATTTCTTCCTCAGTCTCTCTAAGCACACATCCAACGTCACCAGCTGAAACGTATGATCAGATCAAAATGCCTTCCATTGATTGTCAAGTTTCTGAATGGTCTGAATTCAGCTCATGCAGCGCCACCTGTGGTAGAGCACGGAGGATACGCCGTAGAAGGATTGAGATTTATCCTCAGAATGGAGGATCCGAGTGTCCTAAGAAACTTATTCAGCGACGAAAGTGCAAAAGTAATCCTAAATGTGGTAAGCGTCAATCTACTATTACTAGCGATGGAAAAATGTTTCCATGTTAAATAGTACAATGTAGCAGTGAAAAAGGAAACGTTTGTTTTAGCAAGTCATTAGCAATTACGTTACAGTCAAATCACGTATCAAATGATGCTAAAATTTTATAACTAACTAAGAAAGTCAAAACGCAAGTACGTATTCTCAAGTATTATATTTTTAGCTCAGCGAATATTTCTATTTGAAATACAGGAGCGACTCTGTCGTTGATAAATATGTAATGTTGCTTTATTACAAGTTTTAGGAGTTGATATAAATTCTGAGAAGGAGAATAATTTATCTTTAAACTGTTCGTTTTCACAAATAATTCTAGTCGTGGCAGATGATGGCTGACAAATATTAAGCAGAGTGATATAATTAGTCACTAGTTAAGTACTGTAGACAGTGAAATAGCAGTGAGTTTACGGACTTACAACGCTAAAATTCTAGGTTTGATTCTCCTTGGTGAAAAGGGGCGCACATAGCCTATTGTGTAACTTTGCGCTAAAACAAAGAAATAAACTAATTTCATAATTCAAAATTTATGTTCCAAATACCGAAAGCTGGCGAGGCATTAGAAACCAATAAACCTAAAATTTGTGATAAAAATCTTTATTAACTGCTGTGTGTTATGTTTTTCTTTTCATACTCGTCTTAGTTTGTCCATTGAAATGGACAGATTTTATGTAAGTACTATTAATTGAAATTACTTGAGAATATGAAGCCTAGAACAATGTCGCAACCTGTTACAAAGAGTATATTAACAAATCTATTTTTGAAGGGAATAAGTAGATTCTCGCTAAAGTATACAACATTTTATTTTGTTTTAGACTGTGTGTAGAAATTGTGACAATATTCAGGAACACCTTACGCTCTTTTGGAGTTGCTCTTATGAATGTAAACTTGCTGTTGATCCACCAGGGGGATGGGGTAGTTACAAAGGATAAAACTTCGATATATTTTTAACTTTTATTTATTGCACTATGTTTGTTTATAAATTATGAATACTTGTGAAGCTCATCAGGTCAAAAACACAAACAACAAGAGTCGAGTGTTTCGAAGATGTTGTGTCTACAGCAGCGTCAGAAATACTAACTATAAAACCTTACTTAGCAGCCTTAACACTCAGCGGCTTATGACAGAGGAATGCATTTTGTAGGAACTTGTGAGGTCAATAATTCATTTTGTTGTCCGAAGTTGCTGTTTCCCATGATTCTCCTGAAAAATGCATTATTTGCCTAGGAACAACCAGATAGACAGTTTTCAGGTATAAGGTGACGTAATAAAAGTGAAGCATTTATATGTTATTGTTTAATGTCATTTTATTTATTGTTTAATATAATTTTATGTTATTGTTTAATGTCATTTTATGTTATTGTTTAATGTAATTTTATGTTATTGTTTAATGTCATTTTATTTTATTGTTTATTGTCATTTTATGTTTTGTTTAGTGTCACTTTATATTTTGTTTAATGTCATTTTATGTTATTATTTATTGTAATTTTATGTTATTGTTTATTGTCATTTTATGTTTTGTTTAATGTCATTTATATTTTGTTTATTGTCATTTTATGTTATTGTTTCATGTCATTTTATGTACAACATAAGTTACTTTCGCCCCCCAGTGGCACTGCGGTATGTCTGCGGATTTACAACACTAGAAACCGGGTTTCGATACCCGTAGTGGGCAGAGCACAGATAGCCCTTGTGTAGCTTTGTGTATAATTAAAAACAAACAAAAAAAAACAAGTTAGTTTCAAACAGTAAGCACAAGGTATGCCGAAAGTATTCTTAAACTGATACATAGGTATAATTAAAATATTTCTCAGAATTCAGTATAGTCAGTATGTAGTTCGAATGATGAACAATGAATAAATTATACTTTGTGTTTCTTAGTTATATAAATTAGTGTGTCAAATTTATGTTGCCTGATCTTTTACGATGTTGTTGCAATGACAACTATGTCTATTTTATATAGCCATGTATAAGGAACAAGAAGAAAAGGATAAGAAAAACATATGTCTCTATACGTACATAAATAGTGCAATACAATATATGTATTAACGTTTTCATTTGAGACTTCTAACCTAACAGATGTCTAACAAACGTACTGAGAAATGAATATATACTGATGATCTGTGAAATACAAATAATTTGTTTGTTTTTGAATTTCGCGCAAGGCTACACGAGGGCTATCTGTGCTAGCCGTCCCTAATTTAGAAGTGTAAGACTAGAGGGAAAGCAGCTAGTCATCACCACCCACCGCCAACTCTTGGGCTACTCTTTTTCCAACGAATAGTGGGTTTGACCGTCACATTATAACGCCCCCACGGCTGAAATGGCGAGCATGTTTGGTGGGACGGGGATTTGTTGCGACCCTCAGATTACGAGTCGAGCGCCCTAACCACCTGGCCATGCCGGGCCCTACAAATAATTACTTGGAATTAATTTATTTGCTTCAAATTATTTAAATCTAACAGAAAACTTGCCGAAGTTTAATGATTACGGGTATGAAATTAAGTAATTTAGATATAGCTAATCCCCATTCCAGCTAGGCCTATCAAAAGTAGAGTAAGGTTGTTCGGCGATAAAACATATTTTAAACTTGTTAATACTTTTACAAATGACAACATGTAAATGCTAAATCAGCAAATAACCATAATGACTTTTATATTCTTACTTGTTATCCTTAATCATTTACTCAATCCTTATTGACTTCGACTTTTGACATGTCATAGCAAAACACTTTACCCTTACAAATCTGTGACTTCTGTACAATAATTTACTGAATTATTGAATTATTGAGTGACCCAATCTGCTAATGGGCCTTCTTTTCCATTGTTATTGACAATAAAAGGCCTGGCATGGCCAGATGTGTGGTGACGACTAGCTGCCTTCCCTCTAGTCTTTCACTGCAAAATTAGGGACGGCTAGCGCGGATAGCCATCGTGTAGCTTTGCGCGAAATTCAGAAAAAAAAACACAATAAAATTAATCAGTTTACTGTGTTGTGGTCGAATAATGCCATCTTTGATTTTTTTATCAATTTTGGAAGTTTTGTCAGAATTTAGATACTTGGGAAGCCTTCTCTTTGTTTAAAACTTTGGTATGATTTCTTTTCATGATAATGTTGCCTGACTTGTAATGCTCGAACTTGAAAAATCTTGTTATTCACAATTTCAGCTTTTGATTTTGCGCCCTCTTGTTTTTTTTCTTGGATGAAAATTATGAAATATCGAATAGCTGTGAGCCTGGAACCTCAGCAGAATCGTCTTCATGGTTATATTTATCGTACATTCTAACTCCAGCTCTTTCAGTACTGCTCTTTGTTATTATCTTGATCAATGATGATTTGAAAATTCATGAATCATTTACACTTACTTCATAAGTATATATATATATATATATATATATTCATATCATCTTTAGGGTGCGGATTGGCCTTGTGATACAGCTCTGAAATTAGAGCTAGTAAGGTTGGGTTTGAACCCGTGCGTTACAATAAAATGTTCACTTCACTTTAAGCTGTGAGTGGTTGATACTAGTAGCAAGTCAATCCCTTAACGTGGATGGTGAGTGGTTGGGTGCTGCTGACTGGCTGCCGTCCCTATGGACAGTAGTTCAAAACTATAGACGGTGACAGACAGCCTTAGTAGTTTTGCCAGAAATAAAAATAAAAAATTGTTTTAATGTACTTCTTAAATTTTCTTTCAGTTTTGACCAGGTATTTCCAATTCCACTCACCTTCGTGATTTGTTTAAATCTTCTGGATGTTAATAAAAGATCTACAAAATACTACTATCAATCTCTCGTGATAAACTCGTTTAATTAAATATTATTAAAAACATTATATCAAGATGTGCTTTCTTAAAATAATCGTCACGATTTACATCGGTTCTTACTCTGACTATGCAACTTATACACAGATAAAAATAGTTTTAGACTTACTGACAAGTCTACAAACTACAATATTTGAATACAATAAAACAGTAATTCACTAACTTTTCTACGATCTCTTTATTACAGGTTATAAGAAAAAACGCTTAATCATTCATCAGTTTCTTGGAATTTTGGTCGACTAACAATTCTTTACTAACAATACGCTTTTATAATCTGTTTCCACAAAATACTCAAACTTCCTGTAATTTGAGAGCATTTAAAATATCAAAATTGAATCAACACTTACGTCAATCACAGTGATAAACCAAAAATGACAGCAATCAAAAACGTTTAGCATATTATTGCAAAGCACAATCAGGGAAAAAGAAAATATACCCATCATCGGTACTTTCTTCACTAGCCCATGAATGACCCAATATGCAAATGAATCTGATGAGATTAGAATGGTTATTTATTTGCTAGAATACAATAACTTTAAGCCTAGTGAAAACAAATAGTGCATTATTCACTTTGTAATTATACTAAATAAGTTCTTTATGTCTTCAAAATCACGTTAGCTTGAATTTTTTAATTAAAATTAATATCCAGTCATATCAAACTATCTACTTAAAGTGATATTAAGTTAGTATAGTGAATTAAATACTTTTCTTACGTTCTAATTTAATAAGATTAGAACGCATTGCTTCGCTGTTAACCATATCTTTGTTAACCATATCTTCGGCCTGTTTTCCTTTTACATTGTTACTGAACTTCTTAATGCTGGTTCCCCTGGTGGGACAGCGGTAAGTCTTCGGATTCACAACGCTTAAATCAGTAATTATATCCTCCCCCCTCGATAGACACAGTAGATAACCCACTGTGACTTTCCTATAAGAAAACACACGCACCTTGATACTGCTTCGTGTTTAAACCTATTTAAACCGATACATTGCCTTTAATTTCAACTTCTTTTAATATACAAACTATTATATCTAAACATTTGTGAACACAAACATTTTTAACACATTAACACTTGGCATTAACTCAGATGTGTTAATCATGCTTTAAATACAATGC